TACATCCTCTTGTGAGCAAGTCCTCCGTCTGGTGGGTTTTCGGGTGGTCAGCCGGTAGTTAGTTTCTGCCCTATCAGAACCAATCCTGATGGCGCACGACCCAGGGATGGTCGTGCCGACTGCCTTGAGGTAGTACTAAGCAACGTGCGTAAGCAAAAATACAAGGTGCATTAATTGGATCTACTTGTAGATAAATCTCGTCCCGACATACTTGCTTCCACTGAAACGTGGTGGTCTCCGGATATCACGGATGGTGAAGTATGTTTACCTGACTACGCGCTGCTTAGAACTGATCGCTCCGTTGGTCGCCAATGCGGAGGCGTTGTACTGTATATGAACTGTAACTTAGATATGTTGAGAACCTAAACATTACAGTCGTCGGATCAGACTGTTGAAGCCCTATCGGCTGTTTTGTGCACTTCCTGTACCCAGTTTGCAGTTGTAGTGATATACAGGAGTCCTGGAAGTTCTTTCAGGGGGATACTTGACTTTACTCGCACTCAGTCCGCGAATAAGTGTTTAGTTCTAGGGGATTACAACCTCTCGGAAGTCTGTTGGGCCGATCTTTCTTGCAATACGGCGTCAGGAACATTCGGTGCAGACTTTCTTGTGCTGACGCTCCAAGTGCCTTTGCACCAGCTTGTGAACTTCCCCACTAGGTATATGGACAACCAAATACCATCTACTTTAGATCTGGTTTGCGCTAAGTCCCTTGACTTCGTGACTGACGTTTCGCACGGTGCACCTTTAGGGTCCAGCGATCGCGTATGCATATCCTTTCGGTGTGCTCTTTCAAGGCACAGACCGCCGTTGAATTAATTGGTGAGCAGACTTTAACGCAATGCGAGCTAAGGCTTCAGTTCTGAACTGTGAGATCTAAACGACCGACTCCGTCCAGTTAGCCTGGGATAAATTTAAGGCATACCTTTCGGCTTCCACTCCCTATATTCCACTCATGAGGAAAAGGGTTACGGGCACAACCTCCATGAATAACCATCCCCAGGCAAGTACCTACCCAAGAAACGGCCTAGATGCTGGCGAAACTACCAAGCAGCTCCCTCAGCCAGTATCTATGATTAGAAATAGATGTAAGCAACATCTCAGGACTGTTCGTCACCACTACGATAAGGGTTTAGCGGACTCGGCCGCAGCTAATCCCAAGAAGCTTTCTGCATACGTCAAAAGACGCAGCGGGGCAACACTGTCTATACCAGCGTTATTGTGAGCAAACGAAACCCGTGCACAAGGCTTGTGTACTTAGTGATCAGTATACTGGGGTCCTTGCTCGGGAGATCTTTTTACCACAGGTTGAATTGATTTCAAGAGTCTCAGAGGATTATTGCTTAGCTGAGTTTAACATAACGGAGACTCAGGTCTTCGAGCTGCTGCAATGCATTAATCCCTCTAAAGCTTTCGGTCATGATTCAATTTTATCCGAAGCCAATGATCTGAGTGGTCCTCTCACATTCGTATATTCAATATCGCCTCACAGTCGCGTCCTACCTTCGGAATGGAAGGAGGCAATTATCTGTCCGATTTTTAAGGGCAGTGACAGCGCACTGCCCGCGAACTACCGGCTTAGCAATTCGACAAGCGCAATAGTCAAGTTGTTTGAAAAGCTTATAAGGGATACAGTGGAGAACCACTAGAATAGCGTTGACCTGTGTTCCGCAACATGAATTTCGCAAGGGATTTTCGTGTCAGGCTAATCCAATTATACTTCGTGAAAGCTGGGCCGAAGAAGTAGACAGTGGTCACGCTGTAGACGTGCTAATCGTGAACTTTTCGAAAGCTTTTGACACTATTCCTCATCTTCAACACTCACATAAAGTGGAGATCATACGGTATATCTGGTCGCGCCCTTAAATGGGTGTCTGCTTTCCTTGAGGGAATAGTTCGCAGGGGTGGGGTGTAGCCTTTCACTCAGGCAAGCTGTCTTTAGTGGCCTCCCTTCAGGTCTCGGTACTAGGGCCATTGTTGTTCGCTAGGAGTGTCATCATTAATGTTTGCTGACGACCATAAGCTGTAGAATAATGTGGATATCCCGGGGGGGGGGGTCCTGAGACAATTCAGCGTGCCCTGGATATGCTCTGGAAATGGTCTATCTTATGGTTGATGCCCATATATAGGGCCGAGTGCTCTGTTCTCCGGATCGAAGCTGCTAATCCTCTCATCCCATATGTTGTCGGCGGTGGTGAGCTCCCTGTTGTCATTCAGCAGGTAGATTTAGGGGTCGTACGCTCATCAGCACTTTATTCTGACGACAATCGGAAGAAGGCTGCTTCTCGGGGGTTTCGTATGATGTGGTTTATCTGCCGCACTTTCGGAGTCCTAACGGCCAATTTGTTTGTGACACTATTCTCGGCATTCGTCCGACCCCACTTGGGATATTGTATCCAGGCTTGTCCGACATGTCTTAACCGAGACAAAATGGACTTGTAGAGGAGGTTACGAGTGGGCACTCAATTAGTGCAGGGTCTACGGGGACAGACGTATCCTGAACGCTTGCTCAGTTTGGGGATGTACCCCATGCACTACCGAAGGATAAGAGGGGACCTGATTCTCACTTATTGTATTTTGACGGGTAAGATCGGCCCTGACTTGTCAGGGCTACTTACTCCCGCTACGTTATCAAATCTTCGCGGTCACCCACTGAAACTGTATAAACCACGGTCGGATAGGATTAGGACGTAAACTCGTCTGTCGCGCCGAGTTATAGATCGCTGGAATTCGCTTCCAGATCGTGGCTAGGGAACCTACGGTTAAGGGTTTTGCGTGCCAGCTCGATGCTCTTGTGTGGCAACACCAAAACATTTTCCTGACTCACCTTTATTTTTCAGTTCGTTTATTAAGGACTCAAAGATGTTGGTGTTCTACTTGCTTAGCTCTTTCCACTTTCTCTTTTCGCCTGCTGAGTTTACTTTTTTCTCTTCCTTACTTCACGTAACTGGCCCAGCAGGGACTGCTAGGGCAGGATAAGTGTGCATTAATTGGTTGGACAGGGTGTGATCCAGCTTTTGTTTTAAGTTTATCAATATTTCAAAGTCTGCCAACACCTGGTTCAACGAATCGCTGAAGAAAAAACACACGCGACAATCCTATCGTAGGTCTCGCTTGAACTTACACAGTATGGATTTCAGAAGGGATGGTCTTGCCCTACTAACCTGTTGGTTGCGAGAGAAATATAGACAAGATCAATTGATGCCGGTCAAGGATTAGATATCCCCTTCATCGATTCAAGCAAAATGTATGGTAACGTCTTATCCCAACGGCTTATGTGCAAGCTTTGCGAAATTGGTGTCAGTGGCAACCCTTAGTCCCAGATCGGAAATCTTTAGGCGGAAGAACGATGCACGTGAGGACAAACGAAACAATTCCTCAGCCAGTGTACATAATCAGTGGGTTTTCGCAAGGTTCTGTACTCGGTCTTGAACTTCACAAGCTCTACATTTACGACCTACCTCAGACTACTTGAAAAGAATGTTGAATCCGTGCAGATGACTTTAAGCTGTGGTCTAAGGTATCGGACCTTGATGCCTCTAGATGTGCATCAATTGTCCATTAAACGGGACAGAACCGTCAATCACGAAAAAGGGTACGTCTGAGCCACTCGGTACCTACCATATTGGTGGCTTCATTCTTATGAAAAGACAATCACCTCCAACCTATAGATCACCTAATATTAGCTGAGGAGTGGCCGCTGCTAACAATGTGCTCCGCTAATCTTCCAATGTGGCTTTCCAGCTGCCATTCCACTCTCAAAATCGGAATGTAAGCTGACAGAAAAAGAATAGAGACGTAGCTCTAAGTTTGTCTTTGGACTTCGGAACTCCCCCACTCTTGCTTCAACAGATAAGCCTCATATCTCCGGACTACAGCCACCGTCGCAGGGACCTCCTTTTTACCAAGAGCATAGTAAGAGGGGAACGTAGAAAGGAACTACAAAAGTTTTTCAAGCTAAATACTGGATGTTCGACACAGGTAGACGACTGTAAACCATGTTGGGTTTAAACACACGTTTTTCGACTTATCCACTTGCGTGACAGACGACTGGAACCTTCTTCCGGAGAACGTTATCAGTGCTAAGCCTGGGGGTTTCAAGCGGCTATTACTTGTATATCAAGATTAGATTGTACTAGGACTGCAGGTCGCAATGACACATGCTCCAGTTCTTAACCGGTGATAGGATCTCTCTGCCCTCTACAACTCAATGAAACGGCCTCAGTATTGACAGGGAGATTCGCAGTACTGCACAAATAATAATAGCGATGGTGCCTCAAGAACGTTAACACAGACGGAAAACAGTACCGGTCTGAGCCCCGTGAGACAGCGCGGAGAACTCACGGTTTATAGACCGCGACCTAGACGTATACACTTGCCTCTTCCAACATATAAAAGCAGACACTAAGTGAAGTGCGCGTCCAGATACACATTATGCTCTTTTCGTGATAGCCTTATGTCCACTACGCGGCCACTGCATCAGTCACGTTCGCTAGGCAGGAAAACCCCGGGTCATATAACAAGTAACCAACGGTGCGATACGAATGAATCAGCTGACAGCAACGAACAGCATGCCAGCTACAGTAGTCCAAAGTCCCGCGGCCTGGCAAGTAAGTACATTAAAACCAATGTCCTGATACAGATCAACCGAGATAGACAACGTTAAACAGCTGCTCGGTGCACGTGAACGCAACATCCCGTCCCAGTGGCACAAAACAGGCAAATCCGCTTACCTCTAGTACACCACAGCGAACGCAAAATCTAAGAGACGGACAAACTGTTCGAACAAAGGACTGGATGCGAGGGCTTGGCAGTCTTTTCGTAGAAGAGTCGTCTGATGGGGGCTTGTGACCTCTCCACGTACTGATGGGGCAGCTGAAACGATCAACCGGAAATACTGAGCTAGAGGCAGACTGAACGCACAGATTAAGTAACGCTAACAGACGCAATACGTAAGAACTGCAATCTCTCCATGGAAATTTATTAGATAATACAAATAATCATTTTTTCTTAACAACCTTTTGTGCAGATTTCGTCGCCTTGACAGCTTCGCTCTTCTTCTCAACTGATTTGATGACACCCACAGCTACCGTTTGTCTCATATCACGTACAGCAAAGCGGCCAAGTGGGGGATATTCCGAGAACGTCTCGACGCACATAGGCTTGCTTGGAACCATCGTTACAATTGCAGCGTCGCCAGTCTTGATGTGAGGAGGACAAGATTCCAAAATCTTGCCTGATCGGCGATCAACCTTCTCCAAGAGCTCTTTGAACTTGCACGCAATGTGAGCTGTGTGGCAATCCAAGACTGGTGCGTACCCGTTCTTGATTTCACCGGGATGTCCCAATACAATAACCTGTGCAGTGAAGCTTTCTGCACTTCTTGGTGGGTCATTCTTACTGTCGCCAGCCACGTTCCCACGACGAATGTCCTTCACGGAGATGTTCTTGACGTTAAAACCGACATTATCGCCCGGCATGGCCTCTGCTAAGTTCTCGTGGTGCATTTCAATTGATTTGACTTCTGTAGAAATATTGGCGGGAGCAAATGTGACAACCATACCGGGTTTCATTACGCCCGTTTCCACTCGGCCGACCGGCACCGTCCCGATACCACCAATTTTATACACGTCTTGCAAGGGAAGTCTTAGCGGTTTGTCAGTAGGACGAGAGGGGGGGTCAATTGCATCCAGGGCTTGATAAAGGGTGACCCCTGAAACCTTGCCGCTCTTCCGTTCTACTTCGAACCCTTTAAACCACGGCATCTTGTCACTCTTCTCCAACATATTATCACCAACCCACCCGGAGATAGGGACAAATGGAACAGTAGCAGGATTGTATCCAACCTTTTTGATGTACGCGGACACATCTTTTGTTATTTCTTGGAATCGGCTTTCACTGTATGGTGGCGAAGTACTGTCCATCTTGTTGACAGCCACAATAAGCTGTTTAACCCCGAGAGTGTAGGCCAAGAGGGCATGCTCCCGTGTTTGACCATCTTTCGAGATGCCGGCCTCGAACTCACCAGTTCCAGCAGCGACGATTAAAATTGCGCAGTCCGCTTGACTTGTTCCTGTTATCATGTTTTTAATGAAATCGCGGTGGCCAGGAGCGTCGATAACAGTGACGAAATAGCGTTCCGTCTCAAACTTCCACAAAGCAATGTCAATTGTGATGCCACGTTCACGTTCTGCTTTAAGCTTGTCAAGCACCCAAGCGTATTTAAAGGAGCCCTTGCCCATCTAAAAAATCAAATTCGTTAACGAAGGAAATACTCACATCCGCAGCCTCCTTCTCAAACTTCTCGATTGTCCTTTTATCGATTCCACCACATTTATAGATTAGATGGCCGGTAGTGGTCGACTTCCCGCTGTCAACGTGACCGATAACAACAATATTAATGTGCTCTTTAACTGGAGCCATAGCTTAAGTGGAGAATAAATCCGCAGAAAAACCAATAGAAGTGGAAGCGGCACGCGTTGAATAAACCGAGCAACGACCGCCGAACTGCCGGAAGGTCAGTCAGTTATAACAAGAACGCGCACCAATGTTAGCCTTTTAAGGTTCGAAAACTCAAAAAGAAATCAACCGAAAGATTTCTTACTTTCTTTTTTTAAAATAGTTATCATTTTGTGTGATACATTTTAATTAATTTTGGCTATTGGTATAGGCATTGTTTTTCCTAGTTATGCGGATCGATATGCCAGGAGCTGAATAGGTGTTCCGAAGTCTTGATGGATGTAAAACATTGCACGCACTTCACATTCTTATCAACTAATATCTCTGCATGTTTCCGGCAGTAGCGGCCTACGTTGTGTCTCTCACCTGATGTAAACGCAGAAGAAAAGGCAAGGTAACTGAGAAGGATGGTCGTTTAAATGAAGGATAATACCAAGTGACGATGCGAACCACAGGATAGAATTTTTACTGTGGGAAGGATGCTGTGCCCAGTTTTTATTTTACCACAAAAGAGCGCCCAAATTGCCCTCGAAACCATTAAACAGGTTCGCTGAACAAGTTTATGAAAGGAAGTTCCTGCACTAAATTATTTGACAAGGTAACCACTTTTTCGCTCTTACCCAGTCAGCAACCCCATGGGATGACAGTGGAGACCAAAGGACCTGGCCAGGCTAACTAGCCAAATCTCTACGGTCCACCCTCCCCCAGTTTAGATCTGAGAAATGCGGAAAAGATAGCCACGAAGAGTTCGGTAAAGCATTCAATGTATTTAACCAAGAGAAGCCGGAGCTATACTTAACTTACGTGGGACAGGAAGCATAACCGAGTTTTTACATACTGGAACGAACCGATGAAGGAAGTCTTCCTAAGGCACTGATTAAAATGCTGAGGCCGTATAGGTTGTTGTGTGCTCAACTGGCAGTTGTAGTTGTACACAAAAGTACTGGAACGAATTCCGCGGACACAATTGTCTTGAGTGCCATACCTTCTATTTATTTGTATATAGCTCTAGAGACCTAAAATCACAGCGTGCAGCTGGCGAGCAAAGTCTCCGATCGGTGGGTTTTCAGTTGATTAGTCAGCGGTCATTTTGCGCCTTGCCATAACACATTCTACTGGCGCACGACCCAGGGCTGTTCGTGCCGAAGTCCTTTAAGTAGTACTTAGTAACGTGCGTAGCTTGAGGAACAAGATTTGCGAGTAGGTTTGCTCGTAGACAACTCTCGTCCAGATATACCTGCTTTCCCTGAAACGTGGCAGTCTGACGAAATCACAGATGGCGAAGTATATCTGCCTGGCCACGCACTGTCTCCAGCTGACCGATCCATTGGCCGTCGATGGGGTGGTGTAGCACTTTAATTGATTTATCACATCGACGTATTGAGGACCAGCGTTTTTCAGTCTCTCGACAAATCTGTTGAGGCGTTCAAAGTCGTGATTTGCGCTTCCTCTATACAGCTTACGGTAGTGTTAGTGTATAGAAGCTCTATGAGCACCTCTAATAGAATCATTGAGTTTACGCGCACTCACTCTGCGAACTAGCGTCTGGTGCTTGGCGACTTCAACCTCCAAGAGGTTTGTTGGGCTGATCTATCTTGTAGTTCGGCGCTGTGATTGTTTAGTACAGAACTGCTGGACTTAACGCTGCGGGTACCACTACACCCGTTCGTGGACCGCCCCACGAGGTACATGAGCAATCAGCAGCCGTGCAGTTTAAATCAGTTTTTCGCTAAGTCACGACTTTGTAAATGACGTTGCCTACGACTCGACTGCTGGCGCCAGCGATCACCTTTGCTTGTCTTTCCAGGATACCCTTAGCAAGCCTTGCCAAGCTACTACCAGTTGGTATCCGAACATTTAGGCCGCGAACTTCCTAGCGATGCGGGATAAATCTGGGTCGTCGCCTTCTGTGCTATCTGAAGCCGACGCTGTTCACATAATCTGCGAAGGAATTACGGCTCATCTCGTCGACATTTCTGCACAACACGTTTCAATGGTGAAAAGAAGGGAATCGAGAGTACAGCCCCGAGGATAGATTCAGCGGGGATATACCTGCTAAAGAAGCGGTCAAGATGTTGGCGAGTGTATAGAACAGCTCCGCCGAACATCACGTTTGACAAGTATTGCTTGGTTCGAAATAAATGCAAGCTACATCTTAAATTGTCCCTTCTTCAGTGTGAAATGAGCTTAGCTGATACTGCGTCTACGAATCCCATGAAATTCTTTGCCTACGTTAAACGACGCTGTGGTGTAAACTCCTTTAACTCACAGTTGCTTCGAGGAGATAGGACCCATGCTTATAGCGACTACGACAAGGCATGCGTGCTAGGTGAGCAGTACTCAAGCGGCTTTGTCCGCGAAACAAGTACGCCATGCAGATAACTAACTTCAAGAGTCTCTGAGGACTGCTTTCTGGATGAAATTCCTGGAACTGTCTCTCAAGTTCTCCGGTTGCTACGAGAGGTAAACAGAACTAAGGATTCCGGGCCAGATTCTGTTCATCAAAAATGGTTGCACAAATTGGCAGTGGAACTCAGTGTACCTCTAACTTGTGTGTTTCAGAATTCACTCAACAACTGTGTCTTACCTACCGTAGGGAAGGGGGCTGTTGTCTGCCCGATTTTCAAGTAGGTACACTTACCGGTCTGCTCACATCTCACTGAGAACGTTGTTTGCTTTTCTACTTACCCTCAATAGAGCGTTTTCCTGTTCCCACTCTGTTTGCATTACTTTTTCAATTGGACGGATATTTCTTCGGACCTGGCTCTAATCTACCCTCGGCCGACCAGTCTTCTGTTTCTTACTGCTCCCCGGCATCCGAGACGTTATTACTCTAGGCTCTACATTCCAAACACTCTGTTCTTCTCATCCCGAGACCTTTCCTTGACGTGCTATCTGGCTTTTCATATAGCCGCCGCCGTCCCGAAAGCTTTTTATCTTATGACACTCATTACTGTTATTCACACCTTAAGTTGGCGGCCTAGCTTCATTTTGCTGGCTTAGCCGGACTCGTCTGAACGGTCTACTACTTTCTGACCCACCTCGGACTTCTGAGATCTAAGTAACTTAGGCTCTGCCAACGTACTGGCTTGTAACCTTCACTTCAAACGTAGTGTTGTTCATGATTCCTCTTATCATTATATTCCCCTTTCATCCTTAACCTTTCTCTTTATGCCGATGCTCTCTTTCAGTATTTAGATCTAAATTATGCGCCTTTCTCTCTATGCGCGGACACCCTATTCTCGCATTAATGGGCTCCTTTCTTTGGACTGCTTTTTATTAACAAGGATGAATCATCACCAAAAGGTTGGCGGCTTTTCCACTTCTCCTCAATATAACTGGTTTTACCGACCCTTTCATTCCTTCCCGTGCTTTCTGTTGCATTCCTTCTTCACTCGACGCTAACTTACATGCGCCTGACGTCTCTGACTTCTTACATTCCTACCAATTTAAGACTGATGCACCTCGCCCCTGCCGCTCTTTCTGAGTGATACTCTTTCCAATACTCTGCACACCTCGTCCTCCTCTCTGGTTCCAACCGATTAAGCATATGCGCATTAGGACCCCTCAAACTCTCTTTTCATCATCTCCATTCCTATTTTGGAACAAACTTTCATTCTCTACTGATCCGAGTTCTGCTTGCTTCTCGTCGTATTTCGCCGCTTATGATACACATGTATATGCGATAGTTAAATAACAATTACATGTATATGGGTACAATAGTTCAGTCATCGCCGCAATCGATCGACTGCATTCCAGACGCATCCGTTTCTTCTGTCTTTGCGGATGCTTCTGTTCGTTTCTTTTTTTCCCGAGTTTGTCACAGGAACAGAGACACGCAGCCATGGAATTGTCCATCGTTGCGACAACAATACAAGCCACACAGTTCCTTCATCTGGACATGAGCGGAAGATTATCAACCATTTTACAACTTACTAACCGGACAAATCAATCGTTATCATTCACGAATACAATTTTTCTGAGGCTTGAATCTTTGAGTTCAGTTTGTTTAACCCTATCTCTTCCAAATTACTCTTGCCTGGAGAACTACTTTTGACTTCGGAAGGCACATTCTCCTGCCATACAAAGCCAGAACAATTGGTCATTATGAACTCTTCAATCCGCGCTGGCCGCTCAATTGGCCATGGTTTCCTAGTTTTCTC